AAAAAATGAAAAACTAATATTTTTTTAAAAATGTCTAAGTAAAAAATTAAAAATTTATTAAAAATAATAGAAAAATACAATTCTGATCTAATATAAATATATAAACCTCAAAGTACCCGAAAATACCAGGTTTAACCAAACTGATTAAAACGTAATTTTTACTAATTCCATTGATAATATTGTCTTATTCCACTAATGCTTAATTTACATTCATTTAGCATTTAATGCTGATGATGTGTTGTGCCAAAAAAATTTCATACATTTTTTAATTTTTTTGATTTATTTTATTAATGAATATCAATTAAACCAATGATCAATTTTGGGGACCAATTTTAGTCAAATTTTTATAATACCTTTCATATTCTCTTTTGTTTTCCTCTATAAAACCCTAAAATTTCGTATGTGTCGACAAAACTTCTCATCTTCATCATTTACAGCTTCTTCCATCTTCTTCCCCAATATATGTCAAAACTATGAATAACAGTTGTTGCACGCTTTGGTTGTCTTTGTTATACATTTTGTTGTTAGATAGTTGATATATGAGAAGAAACGTTGTAGTCATTTTTTATTTTATGCTCTACTAAACGTTAATTGCGGATGCTGCAATTTTATTTTTGCGTTTGTTTGCTCATGAGTGGAAGATAGGGAATATTTTTGTTCAAACTCTACATCTGAGCTTCGTTATTAATATGGTGTTTTTTCTTGTGCTGTTTTTCAGGTTTGTTTAACTCTTGTTCGACATTTCTGTTGGGTTTGCATTTCTCAAAAGGATGGATGAAGGAAAGCTTGCAAAATATGAGGTACGATAATTTATCATATAGAATACGAAAATTTTACACAGATTTAATGATGTTAGTGAGGAACCTAAACCAACCCTAATATTTTTAATGTTGGTGATTTTCTTATATTTATTTATTCATAGAACACAAACACCTTTGTTGTGTGTAATTTAGTGATTTTTTGGTAATGCAAATATGGTGATGAATCTTGGAATTGTTTGTTTATATTGTTGGAACCATCCAACCAAGATCGACTGCGAGTCTGCAACTGTTCTCTCTTTGTATTTTATTTTAGTAAAATTGAATATTTATAACAATGGTTTGACAGGTACACCTTTCTTTGAATTTGAAATTTTTTGTTTACAAATAAGAAGGAAACCATATTGTTGCAACCATCCAACCAAGATCTACTGCGAGTCTGCAACCGTTCTCTCTTTATGTTTTATTTTTATTTTAGTAAAATTGAATATTTATAACAATGGTTTGACAGGTACACCTTTCTTTGGGTTTTATTCTAGTTTGATTGATGTTTGTAACTGGTTTTGTCAAGTTGGATTTGAAGTTTATGAGGCTATAAGATTATGAAAATAGGCTTATAAGTTGAAGTTTGATGATGTCTTGGATATGTTAGGCGTTATTGTTATTGTAAAAACCTGAATAAAAAAAAGTGAGAATAGATTTATGTGATTATACTTTGATTAAAGATAAAAAAATTATGTACAATATGTCTTTTCTCCTTCTAATGTTTTTGTTCTTGCTATGTTTTTCTTCTTGCTTGTTAACGTTATATGCGAGTGTAAGAATCGTTGAAACATTTGAATGGATTCAAAATAAGGTTTTGTGTGTTATGAAAAACAAAAGTGACCTCCTGAGAAAATTGGTCAACTATTTATAACAAAAATTGGGTTAAAATAAAAAAAAATTAATAAATTGATTAACAAAATCAAAAATTAAAATTAAATAAATTTTTATTTCAATTCTTCATATATTTAAATCAATTGTATTGATTTTTTCCCTAAAATAAAATATATCTAAAAAGTGCAACTTTAAAAAATTGAACATAATCTTTTTTTCCTTTTTTAATTTTTATAATTATTTTTCTATGTGACTAATAAAAGGTTGAAATAATGAGAAATTAATTTTTTTTTAAAAATGTCTAAGTAAAAAAAATTGATTACAAATAAAAGAAAATACAATTCTAATCTAATATAAATATATAAACTTTAATGGTGGATGCTGCCATTTTATTTTTGTGTTTGTTAAAGATAGGAATATTTTGTTCAAACTCTACATCTTAGATTCTTTATTAATGTAGTGTTTTTGTGCTATTTTTCAAGTTTGTTTAACGTCATAAAATGCTTCTCCTGTTCGAAATTTACTCTGGGTTTGCACTTCTAAAAGTGATCGATGAAGGAAAGCTTGCAAAAGTTGAGGTACGACAATTTATCATATATAATACAAACATTTTTGAAAGCTATAGATTTTGAATTGACAATAACTTATGTAACTTCGGTAAGATGAACAACAATTTATTTGTCATTATAAATATATTTTTATTAAAACAACCCCGATTTCAATCACTGCAATAGATGCAACCAATATCTACTGTCAGTCTGCCATCGTTCTCTCTTTTTTGTCTTATTTAAGTAAAATTGAACATTTATGTACACCTTTATTAGAATTTGAATTTTTATTGATGCATTGTGAGTTAAATCGTTTAGTTTGAGTGATGTTTGTAACTGGTTTTTTCAGGTTGGATTTGAAGTTTATGAGGCTAGAAGATGATGAAAATAGGCTTATGATTTGAGGTTTGATAATGTCTTGGATATGTTAGGAGTTATTGTTACTGTAAAAGTAATAACACTTGAGAAATAAAGTGTTGGTTAGGATAATTTTGTGTTCTTTTTGGTTTGTAGAAGTTTATCAAATTTAGTTAATGTGAAGTTGGTTTGCATAATTTTGTGTTGTATTTGATTTGTAGAAGTTTGTCAAATTTGGTTAATGAGAGAGTAAAAAAAACGTGATTGAAAAGAAGTGAGAATGGATTTATGTGATTGTACTTACTAGATTGTTATTGATCTTGTTATACGTGAGTGTGAGAATTGTTGAAATTTATGAATGGACGCAAAATAAGGTTTTGTGTGTTAGGAACACTAGTGCAGAAATGACTTTTTACATCGGGCGAAACTGACTTTTTACATCGGTTCTGGGTGCGATGTAAAGTCAGACGATATAGTAAATCAGGTACTTTTTACATCGGTTCTGGGTTCGATGTAAAAAGTCACTTTTTTACATCGGTTGTGATCTAAGACTGATGTAAAAATAATTATAACATTATTTTTAAAAAATTGACGCAACTTTTTACATCGGTTAAATGTGTTGACCGATGTAAAAAGTCCCTTTTTTACATCGGTTGTGATCTAAGAATGATGTAAAAAAAATTATAACATTATTTTTAAAAAATTGACGCAACTTTTTACATCGGTTAAACGTGTGGACCGATGTAAAATGTCTCTTTTTTACATCGGTTATAATCTAAGCCCGATGTAATATATACAGTTTTGAAAGTTTTTACATCAGTTGGGAGTAATAACTGATGTAAAATGTAAGAAATTTTTTTAGAATAAATTATTTATTTTCTGGATGTTTCCCTGTACAAAAAAAATTGGTACCCATTTTTTCATATTTTTCCAATATCACATAGACTATATTTATGTCGATATATAGATTTCATAGTATTCCAACATCACATAAACCACATCTAGGTCGATATTTTCATATTTTTCACAACAAACTTACAAATTGAACAATTGTATTGTATCACAACAAACAAACTCACAACAAACTTACAAATACATATTCTTCACAAAACATACAAAAATATTCAACTATTTATAAGTCTTTTTCCAAACTTGAATTACCAATATAAAATCCACAAGTAGATGAGTTATAGCTTCGGTAGACAACACCAAAATCACATTGTCTGACAATAAATAATAACAATTAACATAAGCAAAAAAATAAAGAAACTCAATACATGTGCAAAAACCACATGTAATGTGCAAAAACTCAATAATAACAATTATGTGCAAAAACTACAACTTAGACATTTCTATAAAACTCACCAGATAAACTTAATTTTTATATAACTCAAAGAAATATTTTGCCCAACAGAGTTGCAAATCATACAAATCATCTTGTGTTAATTTTGTTGGGTCATCAAATACCTATAATACATAAATATAACAATATAAAGTTATTTTTTAAAAATTCATATTAAGTCGAAAAACAAAAAGTAAATAACAAAGTAAAATTATTTTTAGTACCTGCATCCAATTCTCGGTTATCTTAGCAGAGACAATATCCAACATATTTTTCATCACATAGTATCCACAATCATTAGAGTTATATTGTTGCCTTGTCTACCATTGAATGACATAATTAGTGAATATTTATCATAAATTTAACTATAGAATTACAATTTACATCACACTTACATTGAGATGAAGCCATGTAGCCTTTTTCCAATTTCCATTTGCCATTTGATGAATCCCAAAAAAACTAATACATAAAGATAAACATCACATAACTAAATTTGCTCACCAATGAAAAATCACATAACTATTAGTTGCCAATGAAAGTCACATGAAAGATAAACTTATTTTGTAATAATTTTCTATGGGATGATTAATATATAAGATTAAAACTCAGAATGTTTAAACATGTTTCATTCTTAGGTTTCAAGGAAACTATGAATGCCAGTCCTATCAAATGTAAGTATGTTATTGCTATGTTGTTAATCCCAGCTAGCGGCATGAAGCACCAGACCTAAAACTACTAAAGCGGCATAGCGGTTAGCAGAATGCCCGCCATTGCGATTGCGAGGACTAGAAAAAAATAAACAACTAACCTTTAGCCATCTATATTGTTTCGAGTGGACATCATAATCGTCATAGGAACCAAAGCATGATAATATGAGCACCAGCAACTTCAAAAGAATAATAGAGATTCGAACTCGATCCACTTTCCTCAAACGGCATTTTCCATCTCGAATTATAGGATATAAATCCCTCCTTTAACAACGGTAAATGTTCCACTTCATGGTTCCCTTGTGTTACCATCCATGGTATAGCACTAGATATAATCGGCATACGAAAGATCACCAGGAATCAGGTTAATGTCATATTTGCATTGACCAATGTGATCTAACGTTGATTTAGTTCAACCCGTTTGGCCAAGATCTCCTGCCACAGCAAAGGAAATCGGAAATTGAGTTGGAGGTGTTTTGAGCTGGAACTTAGGACCTTGTCCACCGCATCGGTAAAAGTAAACAGAACTCGGCTCTAAAGGGCCTATTACTGTATGGTGTATCTTTCCTGAGCTATAGAAAATATAACTGTAAGAGGTTGTCTCTCCTTCCGCTACATAATCGTATTTACCCGGCAATGTTCCATATTCGACAACTGAAGGTGCAGATTTGTCATCAGTGATCCAGGTAATTCTCATGTGTTTGTCTCCTGCCAAAGAAACGTGTACCTGGAATTGGAATACACACAAAGTAAAATTGTTTTCAAAAAAGCTATCTTGAAGAGTTAATGGAAATAAGCCAAAAACAACTTATCGATATAGCATAAGTTGTTTCTGTATGTTGTATTTCTATCAAACAATCTCACATGTTTATATGCCAATAGTTAAGCTTAAATATGCTAATACTTATATAAACACGCCTATGATCTCATATGTAAAGTCTAAAGACGAAACGTGAAGGAGTCTGCTTAAGTTCTAACAAGAAACATTTAAATGTCAGAAATTTACAAATTAAAGTGACAATTTTTCTAAGTAAATGAAAAAAGGTAAAATAAAACATTGATTAACTAATAAAGTAAAAGGGTATACAAAAGTAGTGATTTTGCAGAAAAATATATAACCTGCTGGGGATAAGAAGAGCGTTTTGAATCCCATGGAAGATGCAAGGTTTTTCGAGGCTGAGGTCGAATGTAAACATCATCAGCAATGGTGGTTACTGATACGATCAATAAAATGTCTGTGAGTTGTGTCTTAAAACCTCTCCATCGCTCTCCCGTATATTTAATCCATTCTTAAACATAGCACTTAAATGACATGGATATGTACGCTCTTTCTTACCATTGTATGAAGAGTTTAATCATACTAGAGAGTTTACTCATAGAATCATGAATTAAATCATTCATGAATTTTCAATATTATATACTGTGGACAATGGGGCATTATACAGTGAACCATGAACATAAATCAGGAAATTTCAAGAAGAATTAAAAAATAGTAAGGTATGTGATTCATATGAAAGAATGTCCTCTAACCTGTTTTTTGGCACCACATTTAACCGCTCTATAAAAGAGCTAGAAGATCTTTCAAGACTTTCAGTGCCACCAAAGCGCTTGGTTCTGGTTCGGTCCAACGTTAAGTGCAGCAGAAGGACAGGGCCTGATCCAGATGACAGGGTGCTTTCCCTCAAGAAAAAGTTATAGTTTGCATCTGTAGAATGCATGGAATGATTTCTTGTTTTTGTTGTTGCTGCATCAGTTAACTCACGAAGTTCTAGACTTTCGCTCTCTATTACTTTTTCAACATCAAAACGTAAACTACTGTTGTCGCAAAGCAAGGCCACAGAATTCAGTGAAACAAAACTGACGTTACCAATCACAAATGCACCACAACCAGAACGATCCAATTCCGGTACCTTGCAAGAAATCCAATTGACTTTACTCACATTAAGATCACTGCATTCTCCAATATCCCTGTCACCGAGAGTTGCGTGGAATGGAAGATCAACAAAGGGCCCCACCATTTGATAAACCTGATGGAGTATCGACAGCCATTTGGTTTTCGTTAACTTGGAACCTTTTGCAGAAACATCCCCCAAGACAATAAGCAAATCAGGCTTCAAATTTTCAAAAGATTTCTGGCCAGTTGGTGCATTATTAAATTAAAAGGGTCGACAGTAATGGAACATATATATTGATGGTTCAAACTCAACAATGATGAATGAGTAAACCACAATTAGAATCCTTGGCATGATGATTTGCAGTACAAAAATATTACAAAACCTGGAATAATTTTGTAATCATGAGATATCCAACACAGGTCATATAAACTGATTACTGCAGTGTGTCTGGATTAGCTTATTTTGATATTCTTTTTTAAAAAAATAACTTTTTTACAAATTCCAGAGTGAGAAAAAAAAATATATTACTCCATTGCTCTGAAATAAGATGGACAGATATTTTCTATAAGCTATAAATAAGTTGTTTATCCAAACCGGACTTATATAGTGTATGTTTGCTTTGGTTTTTGGAAGAGACAAATGCAATTTTTGAGGTGTAAAATTGATTCTGAAATTATTTTGAGGTGTTTGGTTCCTCTAAAGTAGAATTGATTCTATTTGAAACTACAATCTATACTTGAGTTTAAACGCGATTTTTACATCGAAATTATTTGTTGAACTCACTTTTACATAAAAGTATCAAAACATAAATCAATTCTACAAAATTTAACTCACTCACACAAACAAACACTACATGTAAATTACTGTATGGCATAAAAACTATAAACTATACAGAAAGCTTATGAAAAAAAAAAGCAGAAAAGAGCTTATGAACAACCACAGATTCTTCTATAAGCACTACATAATGCAACACCCTAGAAGCTGTTGTAAAACCCTAGTATGATAGAAGTAGTGAATCCTGAGAAAGAGAAAGTACCCGGAAGATTTTGGACATGTAGTGATCTGTGAAGAAGCGGTTAATGTAACCAGCTTCAGAGCCTAAAAGAAGAAGGTCAGCAACCATCATGACCTTTAGGGAATCAGCTTCCGCAACGGGATTATTGCAAACGGGAGTTGAGATTTTGTCTTCCAAGGAAAGAAGAAAAGTGATTCCGAGAAAAGATAAAGCTCGTAAACCAATCATTGTTCGATTCGATCCAGAATTTCATGATTCTTCGTGCAGTCGGCGGAGGATCTGCGAGGAGACGGTGGAGGGAGGATACGGGCGGAGACGGCGTAGGCGAGACGGGCGGAGATGGCGTAGGCGAGACGGGCGGAACGGCGTAGGCGAGACGGGCGGAGTAGTAGCAAGGGTGCGTTCGTGGGACGGAGTAGTTGAACAATGACGAAATAAGGGTTCGTAGGCTTGAGCTTTTTTACATTGGTTTAACGAATGGCCCGATGTAAGGTTTTTGATATTTTTTACATCGGTGGAATAAATGGCCCGATGTAAGGGTTAGCCTATTTTTTATATTACCAATCTGCCATGGATTTTTTTACATCGGTGGATTGCCGGAACCGATGTAATATCTGGCAGTTTTTTATTTACAATTCTGTCACCTCGTTTGTTATTTACAAAACTGTTACTGTGTTTTTTTCACGGGACCTTTTACATCGGTGGATTAAATGGCCCGATGTAATAGATAGCGAAAAATATTTTTTTTCATATTGCAAATAAATACCTGATGTAAAATATTTTTAATTTTATTTTTTATATCGTATATTTTTATACGTGATGTAAAAACCTTTTCTCAAATGTCATTTTTTTAGTAGTGGAAAAAAAGTGGCCTCCTTTAATGAGATAAACTATAAACTATTTATAACAAAAATTAGGTTAAAATAAAAAAAAAGAAATAATTAAATAATTAAATAACATAATTATAAATTAAAATTAAATTAATTTTAATTTCAATTCTTAATATATTCAAATCAATTGTATTGATTTTTTCCCTAAAATGAAATATATTTTAAAAGTCCAACTTTCAAAAATCAAACAACATTTAATTTTTCCTTTTTTTTTATTTTTATAATTATTTTGCTATGTTATTAATAAAAGTTGGAATAAATGAAAAATTAATATTTTAAAAAAAAATGTCTAAGTAAAAAATCAAAAATTGATTTAAAATAATAGAAAAATATAATTCTTATCTAATATAAATATATAAACATCAAAGTACCTGAAAATACCAGGTTTAACCAAACTGATTAAAACTTAATTTTTACTAATTCTATGGGTAATATTGTCTTATTCCACTAATGCGTAATTTACATTTATTTAGCATTTAATGCAGATGATGTGTCGATCCAAGAATTTTTCATATATTTTTAATTTTTTGATAAATTTTATTAATGACTATGAATTAAACTAATGATCAATTTTGTGGGACCAAATTTTGTCAAATTTTTATAATACCTTTCATATTCTCTTTTGATTCCCTCTATAAAACCCTAAAATTTCGTATGTGTCGACACAACTTCTCATCTTCATCATTTACAGCTTCTTTCATCTCCTTCCCCAATATATGTCAAAACTATGAATAACAGTTGTTGCACGCTTTAGTTGTCATTGTTAATCATTTTGTTGTTAGATAGTTGATGTATGAGAAGAACCTTTGTAGTCATTTTTTATTTTAAGCTCTGCTCAACGTTAATTGCGGATGCTGCGATTTTACTTTTGCGTTTGTTTGCTCGTGAGTGAAAGAGCGAATATTTTGTTCAAACTCTACATCTGAGCTTCGTTATTAATATGGTGTTTTTTCTTGCGCTGTTTTTCAGGTTTGTTTAACTCTTGTTCGACATTTCCGTTGGATTTTCATTTCTCAAAGTGATGGATGAAGGAAAGCTTGCAAAATTTGAGGTATGATAATTTATCTTATAGAATATGAAAATTTTACACAGATTTAGTAATGTTAGTGAAGAACCTAAACCAACCCAAATATTTTCAATTTTAGTGATTTGTCTTATATTTAGTGATTCATAGAACACAAACACCTTTGTTGTGTCTTGCCAAGAATTTTTCATACATTTTTAATTTTTATTTTTTTGATTTATTTTATTAATGACTATGAATTACACTAATGATCAATTTTGTTGGCAACAATTTTAGTTAAATTTTTATAATACATAATCATGTTTAACTATTGAACCATTCAGTAATGCAAATATGGTGATGGATCTTTGAATTATTTGTTGCAGATGTGCCATAAATATGATGTGATTCATAGACTTGAGAAATTTTAATTGAATATTTATAACAATGGTTTGACAGGTACATCTTTCTTTGAATTTAAATTTTTATTGATGTACTGTGAGTTACGGATATAGAAATTGAAATCGTTTAGTTTGAGTGGTGTTTGTAACTAGTTTTGTCAGGTTGAATTTGAAGTTTATGAGGCTAGAAGATGATGATCTGAGGCTTATGAGTTGAAGTTTGATGATGTCTTGGATAGATTAGGAGTTATTTTTACTGTAAAAGCAATAACACTTGAAAAAAAATTATTGGTTTGGATAATTTTGTGTTGTATTTGGTTTGTAGAAGTTTGTCAAATTTGGTTAATGTGAAGTTGGTTTGGATAATTTTGTGTTGTATTTGGTTTGTAGAAGTTTGTCAAATTTGGTTAATGTGAAGGTAAAAAAAATTCGATTGAAAAAAAGTGATAATAGATTTTTGTGATTGATCTTCGGTTCAAGATAAAAAAATTTATGTAGTTTTAATTTTAATTTTTTTGAGTATGTGTGAATACGTGAGTGTGGGAATTGTTGACCAAAAAGGGTTTTGTATGTTATGAAAAACAAAAGTGGCCTCCTTTACTGAGAAAAACGGTCAACTATTTATAACAAAAAAACCGGTTAAAATATAAAAAACAATAATTAAATAACTGATTAACATAATAAAACAATTAAAATAAAAATAATTTTCATTTCAATTCTTAATATATTTAAATCAATTGTATTGATTTTTTCCCTAAAGTAAAATATATCTTAAAAGTGTAACTTCAAAAAATTGAACATTTTTTCCCTTTTTTAAATTTTTATAATTATGTTGATATGTTATTAATAAAAGGTGGAAAAAAAATGAAAAACTAATTTTTTTTTTAAAATGTCTAAGTAAAAAATCAAATATTGATTAAAAATAATAGAAAAATATAATTCTTATCTAATATAAATATATAAACATCAAAGTACCTGAAAATACCAGGTTTAACCAAACTGATTAAAACCTAATTTTTACTAATTTCATGGGTAATATTGTCTTATTCCACTAATGCTTAATTTACATTCATTTAGCATTTAATGTGGATGATGTGTCATGCCAATAATTTTTGATACATTTATTAATTATTTTGATTTATTTTATTAATGACTATGAATTAAACCAATGATCAATTTTGTGGGACCAATTTTAGTCAAATTTTTATAATATATATTGAACCGGTGAATTGGTTTCCATAAAACTGCACACAACATTCCAAGATTTCTTATCATTTACTGTATCCTTTCATATTCTCTTTTGTTTTCCTCTATAAAACCCTAAATTTAGTATGTGTTGACACACCTTCTCATCTTCATCATTTAGAGCTTCTTCCATCTTGTTCTCAATATATGTTAAAACTATGAATAATCGTTGTTGCACGCTTTGATTTTCATTGTTAATCGTTTGTTGTTAGATAATTGATGTATGAGAAGAAACGTTGTAGTCATTTTTTATTTTAAGCTCTGCTAAATTTTAATGACGGATGCTGCAATTTTATTTTTGTATTTTTTAGTAATAAACACTAAAAATAGTGTTCTCACTACGAAAAAAACAATTTTTGGCAGCGCATGTACGAAAGCGCTTTTAAGAGAAAGCGCTTTCGTAGCCTTTAAAAAAAATCGCTTAAAAAAAGCGCTTTTATAGGGTTTCCTACGAAAGCGCTTTTCAGAAAGCGCTTTCATAGGTATTTGAAATATCTAACCTACGAAAGCGCTTTTGAAAAGCGCTCTTATAGGTGGCTCTATAAAAGCGCTTTTGAAAAGCGCTCTGAAAGGGGGACCTACGAAAGCGCTTTCTAAAGCGCTCTTATATGGGGGACATACGAAAGCGCTTTTTACCTCAGAAACGCTCTCATATATGGGTCTTAGAAAGCGCTTTTAAAAGCGCTTTCGTAGGTTGTTTTATAATTAAATTAAAAATCCCTAAATACGAAATTTGCCCTCACTTGTTCATTTCTTCGTCTTCTTCATTGCTTCGTCCTGTTACTGTTCGTTCCTTCGTCGCCGTCGTTCTTCCGTCTTCTTCAGTCGTCGCCGCCGTTCGTTCCTTCGTCACCGCCGTCCATCTTGGTAAGTTTCTTCTTCTTCCATTATTTATTCCGGTATTTGACCGTTTAGTGAGTGGAATATGCTTCTTGCACTAGCTGTTTGTGAGTATATGTTTGTGAGTGGAATATGTTTGTGAGTATATGTTTGTGGACTCATCTTTTGCAACTAAAACCCAACCAAAGAGAGGTTTGTTGTTAGGTTGACTATAGTGTCCTAATGAGAAGAACCCTTGAGGTATTTGTGTTGGCTCAAAGAAAGTTAAAACTCCGCTTATTATCTGATGCAACTCTATCTTAGCTTTTTTTCTTCAGTTTACTTCAATTTTCTTTTCAGTTAATTGTGATTGATGAATCTATGATGATGAAAAGCAGACGGGCAGACTGAACTGATGCCTTGTTGATTGTCTGCCACTTCCAGCAATGGAATGCCACTGAGATTCATATCAATTGCAGAATTGTGAATTTTTTCAATTGTATTTTTATGTATTGAATCTGCCGTGATGATTTTGCATCAATATGTCTGGACATATGAATATCTTATATTGATTATTTGCTAATTTCTGAGCAGTGTACAGTTTCTATGTTTACATATATCTTATTAGTTCGCTTGTTTTCAGATTTTCAATTCAATTGGCCAAATGATAAATCTTCAAAATATTGATAACTCAACATTGTTTTGAGCGCATGAATATTTTATTTTGAATAGGAAGATCTGATGCCAATATTTAACTTATTATTTCTTTTTCTTTACAGTGAATTTTGACTTACTTAAGTAATTGATAAAGTTTAAATGTAGCCTATGATGCATACTTAATTATGGTTCAGAAATGCATGTCTTGCATTT